GTGGCTTCGCTCGCGTGATGTTAAAAAACAGCCGATGTGTTAATTCAGAGTACATTACCAAATTTCGACCAAATCCGTCCAGCTGTTTTTGCGTAAAAAAATAACATAAAGGTACGTTATTTCATGCGTACCTTTATATAAATAATATTTGTAGGAAGTAGAACAGGATAGGATAGGATTATTTTATAGAAATCTGAAAATACAAAAAGAAAATAATTGTCTTTATCAGCCCACATTTTCACTAACTTACCATCCCTTGTTATCCACTTGATATTTCCTAAAACTGCACTAGCTTCCATTAGTTGGACATTGATCCCTAAATATAAAGAAAACTCTCTGACAAGATGAGGGGAAAGCCTTTTTTCAATAGGCTAGAGAGCTTATCCCATCTGATGGCGAAAGCTGATAACAGACTGATTTAAGTTCAAACCAGTGTCAGTGGACTCGCCTGTAGCGATAAATTGTAATTGACTGCACGGTTGGCTCAGTGGGTGGGTAACTGGCTGCTGTGCAATGTATCGCAGACTTGATTCTTGCGCGGAACAGCACTTTGTGTGAACCACAAATTGTTGTTTCGGGTCTGCATGGCGTGTGTATGTGAATTTCTATGTTTGTAAATGCACCCACGACACAGCAGAAAAAACTAAAGGGGGCCATGTTTTTTTTACATTTTTTCCTATAGAATATTCCAAATAAGAATAAGCATGTTCTTCTATTTTTGTATTTGTTTTCAAAAAGTGCAAGTGAAACAATGAATTTATGTGTTGACCATAAAACGGCACTTTTACACGTGATGTACAATAATTATAAATAGGTAAATATATAAATAAAAAGTAAACAATGTGTTCTTACCATATTTAATGCACGTTCGCCTTAACGCGAAAGAGTGACCAGCGTCCACTTTTTATGTTATAGGGCAATAAGATTACCTGATGGTAAGCAAGCAGCGCCGTTCATAGACACCCGCAATAACAGAGTAATTACAAGAGTGTTGCCGTTACCTTCTGGGGTTAAGAATTTAAAGATTTATGGATTGGGGAGGGGAACGATTTGCCTCCTAGTAACCTCACTCACACGGCGAAACACAACGCTATTGTTTCACGCCGGTTTTCTGTGAGGCCGTGGTAAAACTCTAGTCAAGCCGACCTTTTCGACCGGGCCGAAGCATGGCTTTCCCACACTTAATAATAGCTATTTACCAATTATCGCCTTTCTAACATTATTAATATTTAGGATTTAACGAAAACAACTGGTAATAACATATTTCCTGCTTCGCCTATTAGACAATGTAACTATTTTCGTGTCAGTTATATTTAGTGCATTGTCCTCAAACTCAAAACAAGATGGTCAGATTTCAGTCAGAATCTTTTGGGGAACTTGAAACATTTCTGGCAGCTCAATAGTTTTTACTATCGTTTGCTGATGATTGTATTGTTTATTTCTGTTACTGTTCTACTCTACATAGCTATAAAGAAGTGTTGTCATTCTTCCTTGCAATTTATCAGGTAGCCGCTATTAAGTCTTTTAGATGGGCGCTAATTAAGAATTCATGTAGTGATATATTTATTACTCTAATACCTACTTTATTTGATGACATAACACTCTAGGAGTATCTCAAATTTGGAAGTCTTATTCCAAGTCTAAAATTAAAACATATCTTTATCGTTTTCGTGATAATATATTAACATCTAGGATCTAAAAGCCATTTTCGTTAAGTTTAAATAATTGAGGGAAATAAGTATATACTTACCAAGTTAGGTACTAACACTGTTGGAAATACAAATCAGTTAGGCCTTGGTTTAAAACCGAAATGGTTATGAAATTTTAGTGTGAAATGTACCTTTAATTAAAATATTTTAATACAAATTATTAAAATGCTAGTGATTTATTTGGTGACTACATAATATTAATGTAAACTTCAATTACGGTGCCACCATTTAATTGCTAGCTAGTATGTACATGCTCATTAATTATTATAATGTTGCTTTATTGAAATATTGTCATAAACCTAACATTAATTTAAAATATCAGGCTATTTTTAGCCGGTCAGACTAGTTGATTTAATGAATTATAATTTAGTTTGGTCAACGTGTGAATGCGGGCTTCCAAATAATGTTTAGTTTAATCTTTTTAAAATAATGAAACAATGAATTTATTTTTGCAAATAAGCTATGAAATAGCAATTTTACACGTCAACATTTTTTTTTAATAACTAGATGAAGTCGGTATTTCGTATCTGACTGCTTTGAAAATAAATGGCGAAACAAACTCAGAGGCCAGTATCTTTTAAAGTCCAGATGTTGTTAAAAATAATAAGTAAGTAAGTATAATGTGTGAGAACCGTGCAAGTTCATTCTGTAGTGGTCTTTGGAGGAAATGACCAGAGCAGTTTAAGCGGGCTCGAAGAAAAGACAGGCACAATAGTGTCATTTTAAAAATAGTATGTGCCATTATTTTTTGACGATAATTTTTGTATTAGTTTTGTAGTGTTGTTTGTTTACATTTGATAACGAAAACCTTCGTTTTGGTGTGTTTTCCTTAATGTTATCTTGCATCATCAGCTTTTCTTTGCATTTGGCACCATTGAGAACAACAAAATATGTCACTGTCTGCAAGCAGGCGCACTGTCCTCCCTTCTCGCGACGAGACTGACGCTTGGATTTTACGGCTTTTATTATACTCATATACATAATATACGTGGGTACATATATAAATTATTTTATTACGTGTATGTTATATAAACGTAATAAAATAATGATAACAATTTTAAGAGTAGGGTTTATAACATCATAATAACTGGTAAAAGTGTGTTTTATATTGTAATTAGCGGCCCATCCCAGCTTTGAACGGGTGTTATGCTGATAGTAAATTTCTTCATGTTTTTTTATGTGATAGGTCGGCAAGTGAGCAGACATGATTTTTATAGAAGATTGCCTGATGGTAAGCAATCAGCGCCGCTAATGTGTAATAAGTGCGTTGCCCACATTTTGGGGATTGATTGATTGGGGAGCTATTGAGAGAAGGGAAGGATAGGACCTCCGGTAACCTTACTCACATGGCGAAACACAACACTGTGGTTGTTTCACGCTGGTTTTCTATGAGGCCGTGGTATCACTCCAGTCAAGCCGACACATTCGTGCCGAAGCATGGCTCTCCCACACTTAAACCATTCCTCTTCAATCTATTTATCTGTAAAAAAAACAGCATCAAAATCCGTTGCGTAGTTTTAAAGTTTTAAGCATACATATTAATATGGATATATGGACAAAGAAAGTGACTTTGATTTATACAATGTAACGATAGCGATACGTAATAAAATAATGAGCACACTTTTAAGAGTAGGTTTTTATTAAGTACATCTAATTATTACTCATTACAAACAAACTGACAAAATTTTACTTGTTTATAATAGACTAGCTACTCTCACGCGGTTTCACCCGCGGCTCCATTTAATCGTAGCGTGATGTTTTATGCCTATAGCACTCAGGAACATTGTAGCTATCTATTAGTGAAAGAATTTTGGCAATCCGACCAGCGGTTCCAAAGATTACCCCCTACATACAAACTTACAAATTTTACCTCTTTATAATTATTAAAATTAAAACGTTGAGGAAAGTATGTTTTACATTGCACAATGTATATATATTATGTATTGTACAGATGCTTGTTTCTCTACTACTTCAAGAGTAAAATGTTGTCGTCTTTTGTTTTTGAATCAACACGTATCTAAGTTGACTCCAGCATATACGTATATAGATACTAACATAGCATTTTTTTTGTCAGGGGAAAATCATCAAATCTCTTCTCCCGCCCAGGGAGAATTACATTTACTTACCATACCTGCACGTTGATTACGTGTGATTACGCTTTTCAATATTCTGAAAATCTTGTTTTATACTTTTTCAGCGTCTGTTTTTGACGTAGTTGGGTTTTAGTTTTTATACTTTTAATTATATACTAAAAAATTGCATGCAATCTTTTTTCGGAAATAAATGATTTATTTTGAATAAGACTATACAATAAATTAATATAACACAGCTGTTCAATTGAGAAAGTAATTTAAAAATAGAATAGCATACTTTCGCAAACCAAATACGGTGAAACTATTTCAATTAATTATAGTTGAAATTACTAGTTTTCATGACATGCAATTTGTAGTTCATATATCAAGTATTGATGAAGGGTATTAATATTATATAACCACACTGGATGAATAGAAAATTGGTTCAGTTTTGATGCGCTACAGGCAATTTCGCACGAACCACTAGTATAAAATTACAAGCGAAAATTGAAACTAATTATATTATCATCAAAATGTACCAGCAAAGTGATTATTAGTACTTTAGGCTTACAATATTGGGTTCGACACTGATCACTAACAATATATTACAACATCCATGCATTGGTGTATTTAATGAACACTGAATATAACTGAATCTGTTTTCTGTTGTCTGTTGTCTGTTGAAGTTTATATATACAATTTTGACGCGTAAATGTTCCGTTTTATGACCTATTTGAAAAAATAAGTTCATTTTTCAAATTATTGAAGTTTTGTGTATCGATTAGTATTAGACTTTTTAGACAAAGATCGACCTGCCCTTAAGTAGCACAGTGAAACCAAACAATACAGCTTATTTAAAACGCGGTTCTATTAGTGTAAAGCACCAACTTTTATTACTATTGTTTATAATGAGAAAAGTATTCTACAAATGGCGTGGCAACGGGCCAACCGCGATGATATTTTAATTAATGTGTAATTAATAACCAAACGGAATCGATTCGTTGATAGTGAAATACGCATTTGGCATAACGTGCAGGAGACATGAGTATAGTGGACATCCGGCAACTGTTTTAATGTATGGTGACCTTATTGTCGGCGGTTAAAAGCATTTTGCATCGCCAAAACGAAGTGACTCGGTGTTCGGAGTACATTGTAGAGGATCGAGGCACCTACTGTATCAACCTGGGTGATATTTTCGCGCGGCTCCGTACAGTCGGTCATTCCATTCAGATAAAAGGGCTCGTGTTCCTCTTAGTGTGGTTCACTTTAGCATACGGCATCGTACAATTCCTTTAGACGGAACCCCTCGCGCTATCTTTAAACAATGGTGAGACGATTTTGTTTTGTGCATCGTGATTAAGTGAAGTGCTTTAAGTGTATTTGTTCCGTGAATAGTTAAGTTTTTAGAATTTTTTTTTTGTTAGAATATTTTTTAATTTAGTTTTTTTTTCTGGTGATTTCAGGAGGAACTTGACAAGGAACAGATTGGCAGTGAGTATATTAATAAATTATTAAAAAAAAATGAAGTCAATTAAATTGGAAGTCCAATTTCTACGTTTCTTTAAAATTTTCGTTTTTCGATATTTTTTCCGACTATTGTGTTAATCTGCTTCCAGTTCTGAAGAAGGCTTTCGAGGCTTTCGACCAGGAGAAGAAAGGATGTATCGGCACAGTGATGGTGGGCACAATCCTTGGCATGCTGGGGCACCAAGTCAGCGACGACGTCCTTAAAGAAATTATCGATGAAGTTGATGCTGACGGTACGTAACATCTTATAACTCAAAAAATATTATTTAGTATTGTAGAAAAAAAATCTCAGGAAACATCTTCAAATTCTTACAATCTATGGCAACTAAGTTTGCCGTATTTACTGGCGCCCGATGTGCGATTGTAGCAAATAGTAAATATGTATAAGGGAAATACTGAAGTTAGTATGAATCTTGTTAAAGTAGGTAAAGATTAAATATACAAGAAACCAACTTCAGCCAACGGTTTCGCCCACGTTTCCAGAATAAAAATGCCCATGCCTTATTCCAGGACAAAAAATAACTTCTATACATTACATGAAAATCCTTTTCAATTTTTTCGTGGAAGTGTAACGAATATCTATCCAAACTTGCAAACTTTCGCGATTATAATATTAATAGGATTACAAATCATACAAACGTTTAGTTAGTAATTATCTAAATTATTGTGACATGAAATCTATTCGCACTACTTACTACTCACCTCAAATAGGTACCTATGTCTAATAATACGCTCACCTTTTCCCCGCTTCAACAAGATTTGCGTGGGAATCATCGCAGCTGATATAATCTATCTTATATGTCTATTTCTACATAGAAACTGTTAGCTTTATATTCGTTAAAACAACAATTTGTCTTGTAAATACTCTTTGTCTATATTATTCGATTTAAATACAAGTTTATCGTTAAATAGATATCGTTTTAGTGCTTTTTTTATCTAGCTAGGAACAAAAAAAGGTCAAACATTAAAAATTGGTGTTTCTTCAGTTATAAAAGAAGGCATCGTGCTTACATTATCATCTAAAACACAATTTTAGAATCTAACACAATAAAAAAGGTCATATCTACAAACGAATGACACATTGCTAAGTAGACTTCATATCAAAAAAAACGACAATTAGAATTTTAAAAATTAGAATTCCATCAAAATGAAAAACAAATGAAAGGATATTTCACGTAAACGTTTTTATGTGTGCCTAAGTTTTTTGATGCGAATTTATTTCTGATACACCACCGATATCCATTTTCCGAGTACTTATATAAATTACGAAACAATTTTAATTGAACTGTAAATAAAATAAATGTTTTTTTTTTAGGGTTTAAACACACCATAAATCTTCCATCACTAGTAGTTTTTTTGTTATGTAAGAAATGGAATGTCGCTTTAAACAATTTATTTCGTGAGATTATGCTTTGGAATTCACAACGCAATTAGCTAGCTCACATAAATAAGTAACGCTATAATAAGAGAACCTTTTTAAATCTTATTTTCTCTTTAATACTCAATACTCAATATATTTATTGCATTCCACAATGTGAACTTAGGTGGTAGGGTACATAAGGATTTACATACTTATATTAGTTTAGGAGCATTGTGGGCCCTGTCGGGCATAACAATAGTAGTAATTTTTATGAGGAGGGCTAGTATAAATATATGTTTACAAAGACAGAGACAGAGAGAGAGAGAGAGAGAGAGAGAATAAACATTGTTTACAAGACATTATTAATAGACCTCTTTAATTATTGTAGGTCAATGTAAGATAAGTATCATTTCAATATATTAAATAAATGGCTCCTTTAAATCACAGTCCAAAACAAAGTTTACAAAATATTAAGTAAGTTATTCTTACAATGTTTAACTTCAAATATTTGGACATAAAGTTTGTTCTTTTTGTAAACGTAAACAAAAGGGCAAACTTGAAGAAAACTCGTTACGTGTAGAAGGATGATTTGTAGAAATTTATGCCAATTGCTTTTATTTCGGCAGGCTTACATCTGTTACAATTTGTTCGGGAATCGTTATTTTGTTTCTGAAGTTTGCTTGAGAAATGAATGAGATTAGTTCCTGTGAAATATGAATATTCTTATTTCCGTAAGTTGGTTAAATACTATCAAGAATGAACAGTAAATGAAAAAATAATATATGTTACGCTAGAAGTTGTAAAACTTTATATACCTATATATAATGCAGGTAATCTGGGTAGTATATAAAGCAATTGGGGATCTTTTAAAGATGACTTGTGACAACAAATCATATTGTTTAAGTTATTCTTATAAAATTCCAGGATCTGGTGAATTGGAATTCGCGGAGTTCGTGACCCTGGCTTCCAGATTCATGGTTGAGGAAGATGCTGAGGCTATGCAGCAGGAACTTAAAGAGGCATTCCGGTTATATGACAAAGAAGGTAATATTTTTATGATGAATAGATATATAGGTATATTACAGTTGGGGTATTTCTTTCTACTTAAATTACTATTAGGATAAAAAACACATTATACCGAAGTATAGTCTGTGATGCTGAAGTGATAGTAATTTTAATTTTTTTATTATACTTTTAAAACTTTGATGACAATGTTTTCACTTTAGTAAAAACCAGTTTTATTAGAAAAAAATTGTTTTAGTTTAGAATCTACAATAACGTTTGCGTTAAGATTTAAAAATAAAAAAAGACACTTATTTTTTTTAAACCAAAATAAAATTAACTTTTTGCCAAAAAAGTATTTTTACCATCTACGAGTACTTTGTACAGAGATGACGATATTAATGCTTAGAGAATGTACAATTTTTATCTTTGTTTAAAGGCCAATCTAGTTGTTATTTCATAGCTGAAAAGAACTTTATATAACAATGAAATTCGAGCACTTAAAGACGCAAATCATCTAAGGCGACTGCTAAATGAAACTGACGACCAGCATAAGTTTCTCCACCATTAAAAGTAAAATTTTTAGTGGGCGGGGATCAAATAATTCCCATCTTTTTATCAGCCTACACTAAAAAGGCGCCTAGACTAAACCTGACAGAGCACTCAAAGAAAAAAATATCTCGTTTGTAACGGTATCAAATAAGACAAGCTTTTTAACAAAATTCAATGGACTGAAAAATTATTGTGTGAACAATTTCTTTTAAGATTGAGATTGTTGTTAGGAAAATTCGACCTTCAGAGTTTAACTTGGAGCGATCTTTGTTTACCTCGAGACAATAGGGTCGATCAAAATTAAACGGCCCTTAACAAAGTCATATAGCATATTAAAAAAGAGAAATTATTTAAGTTAAAAACAAATATTGTATGTGAATAAATGTCTAGCGAGTAGTCGGATTACCTAATGGTAAGCAATCGGCGCCGTCCATGGACACCTGAAACACCAGAGGAGTAACGAATGCGTAGTCGTAGTCTAATCCCCTTTTGGGGATTAGAGTTTCGAAGATTTAGGGAGGGTATGAAGGATTGAGCTTCCAGTAACGTCAAACATACGGCAAAACACAACGCTGTGCTTGTTTCATGCCGGTATTCTGTAAGGCCATGGCATCTAGTCGAACCAGCCGAACCATACGTGCTTACCTACCCTTTTTTTCTTATTTATTTATTTGCTTTTATCACAATTGGGTAGCAATCTAAAGAAAATGAAACTTAACAATGTAAAATTATGACTCATATTAAATAATAATAAAAATTTAAAGCGCCTTACGCTATTAGTTCAAAAGCATTCCTAATGCGTTTCTAAGCCAAGTTTTCGCAATGTAGTGATTGATAAATAATAATTGAACAATAGATCACTCTTCTATGACATTAGTTGGTAGTGTAGTTTATGTTATTTTAAATACCATTACACAATTTGGCAATGTTCATTAGATTTTCAGACGATATCTCATTTATCATTATGTTGACACTTTTATCGCTATCAGGTCAGCCAGACGGCTTTGTTTTCCAAGAATACTTCGTCAATAATATTGTCATCAAACTATTGTTAGAGGAAAGGTCATTTGTTAAAATGCTTTATGGGATTTACTACTTCATTTTTACAATAAAATGGATAATTTATATAGATACTAATCGAAACGAAAAATAAGAATAATTTATTGATCTTAATTGATATCTATTCAAATTTGGAATGAGCATCACTGTCTGACGTTCTGCCAGGAAATTCTATTACCTACATTGTTTAGCATGAACTTGTGTGAGAAATAATTTGAATAAATTTGACACGACCTCGATCCTTTCCTTACAAGGACCATAAAACTCAACTTGGTTGTTTCAATGAGCATTATTTATAATATGTCATGATGTATCACTTAAATCTCTGAAGACAGCCATCGCGTTACGTGTAGGAAGAATCGTGTTTCTTCATAACCACCGGCTCAAGATAAAACCCAAGTAATGAATATCTTTATTACGTAGGATTCAACCGCAAAAAGTCTTCCTTTGATGAGAATATATATATATAAAGTAAACATCACATAAAATATTAATTTAAAAAATATTTATAGAAACTTACTTTGTATACAAATTTCACTTGACTTCAAATACATTATAAAGTTTCGACCAACATATATTTATTGACAGGCGCGTTTCATGCGTATCTCAAAGAGCCTATAGAAAAAACACCATAGATAGGGAGTAACAGGTTTTTTTTGAGGGTAAAATTATCTAATGACTTCTCCCGCCCAGGGTGGAGCGGGAAGAAAAATCAGATTCTTTACTGACTAAAAACCTCCCCATTCCTTCTCCTGCTTTAGGCCGAGGTCGCGGTGACTTATTGCGCTTGCCCCGCAACCCCCATGGAGTAACAGGGCTGATGTTCAGATGGGTTTACGAGGGGGGCAAAGGCAATAATGTAGCCAGCATCAAGGGAAAGAATGAGGTGGTTTTTGGTCAGCAAGAGTCTGAAATTCTCTCGCCCCATCCAGGGGGCGAGAAGTCATTTGAAGATTTTTATCCCTAAGCAATGGATGGGCATTAACGATTGAAATAAACAAAGCAATCAAAATAAACATTTAAAATGTTCTTGTTGCTTTATGAAGACACCATTAAAAGTATTCAGAAGGTAAAGAAGATTTTATTTCATTTCAGAATTGCAACATTTTACAAAAATAACAACATTACGATGCTTGTTGGGTAATAGCCGAGGAGTTATTGCTTATAAAGTTGTATCCATTCTTCCCTTTCTGCACGTGTAGGAAGATTGTATGTTATACCTACCAGTTAACAGTATTCATAAATACTTTTGTCACGCTTCGATTGCTAACGGGAGGAAAAATGTGTAGGTGGTGTATATTTTTATGTAGGTGTTACATTTTACTAAAATATGTTTTTGCAAATCCGCCTATACATAAATTTGTATTTCAATGTTCTGTGTAGGTTGAACTCTATGACGATAGTAATAATAACACGTTTTATAGACCCACGTTAGTCGATTAATAAGTTAAAAAACAAGATAAAATTAAACTTAATTTACATAATTATTGTGACTATATTATTATATTATATTTTTCTTTATGGGGTCAATAAAATAACTGACACAAAATGAGGGAGAGCCAAGCTTAGGCACGAATGGGTTGGCTCGACCGAAGTGATACCACGGCCTCGCAGAAAATCGGCGTGAAATTTACACACTTTGTATTTCACCGTGTGACTGTTCCCTTCTTCCGTTCCCTCAATACCTCTCCAATCTCTAAATCTTCGAAACCCTCGTCCTAACAATGCTAGTTATTCACTTGTAACTCCTTTGGTGTTATGGGTATCCATAGATGGCGCCGATTGCTTATTTATCATTAGGTAATCCGTTAGCTCATTTACCGACTTATCACATAAAAAATGAGAAAAAAGGTATTTGTTATTTTTGTTTGTAATTGATTCGAAACACATTTGCTGTTAGTCATTTTGGTACCTTTACAATTGACAAATTTATTTTTATTATGTCTTAACATGAAACATAAGACAGGTAAACAAGGTACCCTTTATTCCTATAATTTGTAAGTAATTGAGGTTTTTTATATATATATAATTGTTTTATATTGTGAACAAGATTCAAATCGCCAATCCGCCTTGGGCAAGCGTGGTGATTAATGCTCAAACCTTCTCCGTTTGAGCAGAGGCCTTTGCCCAGCAGTGGCCATTTATAGGCTGATGACGTGAATGTGCAAGATATCTACAAGAAAAAAATATCTATATTACGTGATTTAACACGCATTTTTTATCAACATGTATTTATGATGGACCTTTACGGTCCTCTATCACGCATAAATAATTTATTTATTTCAAAATTCAGTATACAGGTGGATATTCTGTCCTATCATATAAAATTCAAGTAAGGTCGAAACCGACAAACCCAGGGTCAAGACTCGGGCGATACGTTATAAATATGAAATTAATTTCCCCGAAAATGTAATTCTATATCATGGCCGGTACGTACCTATATCAATTTGTAAAACCAATTGGACTTTATTACAAGGATAAAAGGATCAAAATTAGTTCGTTTTGAGTTGTGAACTGATTTTTCCGTTTTATTAACATCAGCCATTTCGGCCAATAAGGAAGTAAATTGGGTTTTAAAAGCTTTTAGTTTACAAAATGTCCCCATAGGCTTCTGACATTACTCATATTGGGACTTGTTTCATTTATATAATTATGTGTTTATGAGCGACTTTTACCTATGTACACTAAAATAGAAGAATCCCCGAATGTTTTGGATAAATAAAACCAATTATCTAGTTAGTTACATAAGTCTATAAAAAACATTTAGTTCATAATTTTATGATAGTTCTTATTCTGGCTAATACGCCTAAGGTAAATATAATATTGAAAACTAGGAACTTACTCTATGGTTTTAAATTAACTTTAGAAATATTATTTGCAAAAACACACTAGTCAATTCAAACACTCAACAAATGAATACCGATATTATTAATGGGAACAATAATTCGGATGTGTTGAACTGTGAAGGATATATCAATTTGTGCCTAATTGTTTCTGATTAACACGTTATAACCAGTTTAGCTCAAAGTGAAACAGCATAATATTTTGTTACGTTTATCATCCCCGAAGCAAAAGAGCTGACGGGACATATAATGATAAGCGCTCGGCAATGTCCGCTACATCAAAAGCTACAAGTAAATGCTTGGCCTTTTCATTTTGTACCAGAGGCCAAACCAAATGGCCAACTTAGCTTACTCCTCAATTAAGAGTAAAACACAGACATCATCAGCCTATAAGTGCCCATTGCTGAGCAAAGGCCTCTTCTCAAACGAAGAAGGTTTGCGCAGTGAAGGCGGAATTAGCGGTTAAAAATGTATAATTAGACATTATAAGTTCAGGCGAGGGTTACCTACACCGAATTTTGTGGTGTTTGAATGCAATAATGGTGTACAAAGTAAAAATGTCATAAATAGGTATTAATGTCATTTTTACTGTTAGGTTTCAAAACCATTCGGGCCACCACACGGGGCCACCACGACAAGAGTAAAAACATTTCCGATTTATTTTTCTTAATGTTTCCAGGCAACGGCTACATCACGACAGACGTGTTAAGAGAAATCCTCAGAGAGCTGGATGACAAGATCAGCGCTGAAGAGTTAGATATGATGATTGAGGAAATTGACTCTGACGGTTCAGGAACCGTGGACTTTGATGGTATGTATAATTTAAGGTTATTTTCGTTTTTACCTGTCTTCTTTGGATCAAAGAGTCATTTAAGAAAAAGTAAAAACAAATATTTTTATACTTATTATAAGAAGTCACATTACAAGAATTCTCCGTTTGGTCCCAAACCAGGCAAACCTGCATCTTGGGTACTTATTTCGGAGTGTTGAATGAAAAGTATATACATATTTGTAATATAAATTTTCAGTAACGTACATAATGGTAATTTTTCTTTACCCAAATAGCTTAAATTAGAGCTAGAAGATTTAACGCAGCGCTTTATTTAAAAAAAACTAACCGATACCGAGCCACAAAACGAAAAAACATGTTTTGAAATCAAATTGAAATTTTATCAGTGAAATTATAAAAAATGCTTATTGTGCAAAACATCAAATAATCTATTGTAAACATAATATATATTTTATCTTAAAACGAGTACCTAATTATTGTATGTAAATCTACAAAAGATAACGGTTTCAACAATTTTCTTAAAATTTGTATCTATGCAGGGATTTTTGGGATTTATCCACGTATTAGGATAAAAAAATGTTTAAAAGTAGGTAGTACAATTTAAGTGTTTTATAAAGTTACTGGTTCTTACTGATACTGGTTCTTTTTAATAATATTGATAGTTAAAACTAATAGTATTGATTTGTCGGTTTTTCTGCAGTTATCAATCTACTTACTAAAAATGGGCAGTATGTATATATCTACGCCGGTTACATTAACTGTAGTTAATTCCAGATTGTATTTAAATTTAGCAGTAGAGGTAAGGTTAGTGACAGATTCTTAGCCAAAACTAAAATTAGTATTCTATTACCGTAACATTCTCGTTACAGAGCCGAGTTCAGCTGACTTGTAAATAAATTGATTAAAACGAACTAATTTACGTTTTGCAAATTGCATTTTCTGTGCAGTTTATCTTCTCTTACTATTAATGATTTCTTTGGTTTATTTAATGGAATTCCTTAGTACTTAATTGTTGATTTTAGTAATAGGACTTTATGAAGAAGTAGTTTAATAAAGTTAGTAGTTACGCAAAATAAATTTCCCACATCTCCTAGGACACGAAAAAGGGAGATTTATTCTCTTTTCTATACTTGACTAGAAAATGTCTTTTTTATTTTACTTAATATGTTAATGAATTCACAAACACAGCAACCCAAGTTAAGTATAAAATATGTTTACGATGGTTCTCAAGAGATTAATATCCAAATATTTTTTTGTTCCCAGAATTCATGGAGGTCATGACTGGAGGTGACGACTAAGCGACTGAATTTACCATCTAAGAGTTGTGCTCACCCCAGAATATGAAGGAATATCTTCACGTACATTGACATGATACAAAATTATCATTTGACATGTCTTCCAAGCATAAATACCTTTTTATAACGTGAATCATAAACATTAATTTATTCTATAAGTTATTTATGTTATAATAAATGATTTTGGTAATAAATTTTTCATAATTCTGTACTACGATTAAGTTTTTGAGTTTTATATTTATCCTACAAATACATATTATGCTACTGAAATCAAAATTAATTCTTGATATACTCTGACAATATTGGAGAGCAAATATTCTTTTGCGGCAGCTTACAAAGCAAAGATGGATAGCAGGTAGTTGAAGGTATTTAAAAATAGTCATAGTTTATTCCACTTCACAATTTATAAAATTATTAATATACCTATTTACATACTAGTTAATCTAATGTTTTCAATGTTAAATGTTGGATTGGAACAAAATATTGCAATCGGACCGAATCGTAAGCCTATAGCAGCGAATAATATGAATATACTGATTTATGCCTACTTTGTATGTCACTTTATAAAGACAGTATTGTTCATTAAGTGCATACACACAAACGAACATAAATGCAGATGAGGAATTACCGTGGCTGACCAAATTACAAAATTTCAAAATAATAAAATCGAAATTGGAATAAAACAGCCTGATTATACACGAACTTCGTACTTACATTAAAATATGATTTAAGGAAAAATGGTTAGTACCTAATTGGAAAATTAGTTTTCTGGTCGTATTATTTGAAGAATCGCCGTTACTGGTTAGTTTCCTCAGAAACGGTGCACAGACGCTACATTTTCGCTGAAAGCATTGAGCAATTATGACAAGTCTGCAAATGATCGCAATGGACTATAAATATGACAGATGTTTCAGACTGTAAGAACGATATTAATGATTCTCAACTGTTGCAACTTTCAAACTTCAGGAAGTTTTCAGTTGGAATTGCACGTGTGGGATGCAGCAGAGGTGATTTGCAGGAAGATGTTTTATGCAACTGAAAATAATTATGAATTTTGTTTGAGATAATTAATTAGTTTTTAGTGTTATACTATATATACATTTTGTTATAGAAGTAAGGTTATAAAGTGTAAGTTATCTTTTAATATTATGTATAACCTAACTTTGTGACGAAGCAAATCTACTAGTTTTAAACTCCGCTAGGGGCCCATAATCATGAGGAACATTTTGTGACGTATGTACGTGCGCTGTAAATTTTAATTCATTTAATTTGTCAGATGTGCATTCTTCAATTATATTATGCATATACCTACTTTTTGTAAAATCGTAAAATTAAACCAGACAAGAATGAAATAAGCTAGTGTTAGATAAAGGTCCGTAACTTATAAAATAAATTTTGATTGGTATACATTAAAATATATATCTGTATAACAATATCGATTTTATTTGATTAATTGGGTACCTACTATAGATAGTTAATAAGCAGGGTTCTTTTAATAGTCGTACTATCATTCTAAGATGTACTGAAAGAAAATGCCTACGACATTAAGTCCTCCGTTGTGCTACTGTGTGAAAAAAGTACTTAAATAAAATAAAAATGTGGCTGCATAAAGATACATAGTTTATATTTAATTTATAAATGAAAAACTATCTAGATTTAGCCACATTCAAGACAACATAGAGGTGAATTCTTAAAATTTAGAATGATATTACCAGAATCATATTATGACAAGCCATGCTTTGCAAGTTGGTTGACATTAGGAAAAAAAATTTGGAAACAAAATCTTTTACACGAATCGTCCCAAAATAGCAAAACTATCAGTAGTAAGGATTATTCGGTTAGGTGGAAATCTCACCGAGACCACACACACTTCGTTACAAGAGCAGTTAACGCTGTCTGTGTCGAGTGCCGGTGAAATGCAGGCGACCGCAATACATACACTGCCAGATACTGGAAACCACGAACTCTTACTGAGGGTACTTGTTCTGCATAATATTGTTAGGTTATGAATTTTGTTCATAAGGATGTAACAATGTTTCAGTAATTATTTTTAAACGTATGCAAATTATATTTATTATCTAATGAACCATAACTTCGTGTGTTTCATAGTCAGTAAAGTAGGTACCTTTATTGTCAGAGGAAATCATCAAATGATCCTGAATGAATCCTCTCCGGCCCAGGGTAAGGCGAGAGAGTGTGTCAGAATCTTACTGATTAAAAGCCCCCCCGTTCCTACTCCTGCTCTGGGCCGAGGCCGCGGTGACTCAATGCGCTTAACCCGCAACCCTGGTCGGTAGAGTACCTAAGCTGTTTTTAAGGAAAAAAATGATGAAATTCCTTGTAACGCGCTGGGTGGGGCGAGAGGGTGTGTCAATCTCTCTCTCAGACTCAAAACCACTGCGTTCCTTTTCATGGTGCAGGTTGGGGCTGCGGTACATTACTGCGGTTGCATAATCTACTTTCTTCTTCAGCTCAATGGTAATATAATTAAATATGATCATCTAATAAACTTTTAAGCAATTACTAAGATGATACCTAAAAGAATCAGATGTGTGTGTAATTAAGGTTCTAAGATTTTAATTCATAATTAGTTACAGACTTAATAAAATTGTCTGTGTTTTAAGAATGAATGAATACGAAACATCGCAAACTGTTTTCGTTAAGTATAGAACATAAAACTCCTTGTTCATGTAGTAAAACGCAAATTATGTTTGATATATTCTTGTATTCTTCTCATTCGTATATTTTTTGGATTGTTTACCTAGCTGTTTTATCATATTGATCTCATCTATAACAAACTCTGCATTTCAAGTCTTGTCAATATGTTATTCGTATCAATAATGTAATAAAGAACAGTAATCTTGTTTAGATGTGAGCGCTACGCTAAGTAAACATGCGAGATGTACGATATTCTGCAATATTTCAAACGAACGACGAGATCATTCGATTATTTTTAATCTTGTTTGTGATTTCCTTGCAAAAGCACTTTTCATCATAAGCCAGACTGTATTTCTGCGTAATATTGGGTTAAATATATATTTTTTGGATGAAACTAAAGTAGTCAAACTTAGTGCTTATAAATAGTTTGAATATTTTATGGTAACTTCAACAGTAGCCCACAATTGATACGTAGTAAAAACAGTAACTCCTTATGCCTCGTTGAGTTTATAAGAAAGAGCGACATGTTATAATAAAAATGCTTTAATTCTATAAAGAATATAAATGTACTTCATAATCATCATCTTAAAAAAATCTTGCAGTGGATATAAACAAAAGCATGACAAGAGATAAATCCAAAACCATTCCTGTGAAGGTAAGAAAGTTTTATAATTAAATGACTTCTGACAATTTATATGTTGAAACAATCCTTTCCCAATCCCCATTTAATACCACAGGTAAATGTCGTGAACTTTACCCTCATTCACACGAAACAAATTAAGCCAAAAATTTGGAGCACTGGTTTTATATCCCAATCCAACTTCACAGCTGTCTCAATTTATTACATGCAACAGGCAAGTACGTGCTTAGCGAGAAAGGAGATTTTGTTGGGTTGTAGAGATTAATTTAAAAAAGAACGTTGATAACTCAGTAATTCACACATTATACACAACTTAACAACTTCTTTCTGCTAAAAACAAACAAAAATATGTTCTCTTCACAGTACACACCAGAAAGATTAAAAATCTATTTAATGTGTCAGTAAGATAAAGCAAAAATATATGTGACACATTTTGTTTGTCGTAAAACAAAACAATACATGTGTACATATAAAATGCTCAGTATAAAATGTCTCACATTAAACTAATAAAACATTTTTTCGTGAACTCTTATTTTTTTCAAATTAGTTATTGACCTGAACCAACTTCCATTATTATTATTTCACTCGCCAGCAACGTCTGGTACTTTATAAAGCGCAGGTTCGGCACCATATGGAAAACTGTTCTCATCATTTGGGCGGGAACACCTCACTACGTACCAGATTCTACCTATAGACCGCATTCACTGCCCAGTCGTCGTGTGACTACGCGTGTTGCTGATATTCGATTGTTTACCATCAGATTAGGTTTACTGCCCTGTCAAATAAAAAGGTAAAATGTCAAGGCTTCCTCACAATGTTTTCGATCACTGCAAATTAGTGGTATCCAAAAACCTAATATGAGAAAACACATACCTATTGTTAAAGTCAAATAAGGTATTTGTCAGTTTTCAAAAACATGCCTGAGAGTACAGGTGTTTAAAGCTGGCTCTCGCATGGAACCATTGGGCCAACACAATACATCAACCAGTACTTTTATATAAAAAGAGCCATGCTCCGGCACGAAAGAGCCGGCTCGACTGGAGTGATACCACGGTCTTATAGAAAATTGGCGTGAAGTAACACTTACGTTGTGTTTTGCCGTTTGAGAGAGTTTACCGCAGGCCAACTTCTTCCCCCCTCCCTATCCTCAATCCTTAAATCCCGTATTCTTAAATCCCTAATAACCCACAAAAGGCCGTAGGCGGTGATATTTGCTCATCATCAGGTAATCCTTCTGCTTGTTTCATACGTTTGACATATAAAACGAAATGTTATTTACAATAAACCGTATTGTGTCCTGAAAAAAATCAGCCTATTTTTTTCGTATATACGCAATAATACTCCCGATTACTATATGTATAATCTAGAATTCCGCCTTATAAATTATGGAAGATTTTAGGTAATCTGATTGGAACAGATTTGGAACAACTATCTGCTGTAATCTAATTTGGACGAATATAGTACTCGTGCAGAAGGTTCTGTGGACGAAATCTTGTTAGAAGGTACTTTATCATCAGCCTATAAGTACCCACTGCTTAGCAGTGATCTCACATAGAGAAGGTTTGAGCATTAATCATCACGCTTGCTCAAGACGGGTTGGCGATCTTATAGCTAGAAATTATAAGTCCAGATTTCCTCATGACGCTTGAAGGTACCGAAGGTACTTAAATAGAGATTTTTCAAACCTGGAATAAATATGAATAAATGTCAAGTTGACCTACGATAAGTAAATGCCTGAAATCATAAGAAAACCCCTGAAAGTACATGAACACGGCTAATAAAAATCATATCGTAAGCAATAAGAAGTACTTACATCTTTAAATTTTTACTTAC